CGCCCGCCCCGCTCCGGCCGCCGCTGTGGGCCGTGCCACGCTCGCCTCCGGAGGGGTGGCCACGCCTCCTCCCGGTCGCCCCCCCTCCCGGCTTCCCGGAATGGGCCCGCCCGGCAGGCGTTGGGAGGAACCACTTTTGCGCCGGCGGGGGGGGAGGGAGAGCAGCGCCTCCTTGTTTATCCCTAACGGAAAACTGACCGTCAGGAAAGGGGGCGGGGACATGGGCGCCGCGCAGGCGCAGAAGGGACAGCAGAAGGGTCGTGGCTGGCCGCGCGTCGACGTTGCGGTGGGCGTGCCCTCCTCAGCATCACAAGAGCGTCCTCTTCCCCCCGAACGGGAGGGGGCGAGCCTTGCGTGGCCCTGACGTCGGAGGCACGCCCGTCGCCAATGGCAACGCCGCCAACGCTCTCGCCCACCTCCGTAACGTCACGACCCGGAAGAGAGTGACGTCAGACCTCGGAATGATTTATTGGCAGAGTCTGCAATAAACTCGTTTTTATTCCATTTTGGGGGGTTGCCGTTTCCCCCCCCCAACCAGGGTGAAAAGCAGCCCCCTAAAAATACAACCACCCCCCCAAAGTCTCCTAACCAGTCATTAAAAAAAATAGTGCAGGATCTGATTTTTTTTAACCAATGGAGCCTCCAGGTCCAGCTGCAGTCTACCTGGCAAAGCCCTGCCCCCTACTTATTGTTGGGGGGGGAGTCGCCGAGCCCGGAAGCCGCCCGCCTGCCTCCCCCTCCTCTCCTTAAAAGAAGGCCGGCTCCTTCGAGGGCGCCCCCCCACCCCACCCCGCCTCCATGGGCGCTCGCTTGGCTCATTCCCCGCTCGCCGCATCGGCGCTCGACTTATCGCGCCTGGCCGGCCGGCTCAGCGCTTCCGCCTCCGCAGGCGCCGCAGTGGCGAGCCGAGCGAATGGATCGGATGGAAGAGGAGGAGGAGTCATGATGGCGGCGGCGGGAGCGGCGTGCTCGTCGGCCTCCGCCTCTTCGTCGGGCCTGGCCGGCGGGAGAGCACCGCGTCGGACGGCGGGGAACCGGCTCTCGGGGTTGCTGGAGGCCGAGGAGGACGAGTTCTACCAGACCACCTACGGGGGCTTCACCGAGGTCGGCGGCGGAAGAGCGCGGGGGGGGCGGGGACCAGGACGAAAGGGGCGGGGCTTGCACGGGATTGGCTGGAATAAAAGAAGGCGCGTGGGCCAGGGCGGATTGGCTGGAATAAAAAAAGGGCGAGGCCAGGACGCAGGAGGGGGATTGGTTGGGACAAAGGAAGAGGGCGGGGCTAGGAATCATCCCAGCGCCTGCGTCCCCATCCGGCCGCCCGCGGGCCGCGCTGGACTCCCGGACCCATCCTCCCCATCTCGGTCTCAGGGTGGGGGAGGATGGGCTTTCTGAGAGAAAGCTCTGCAGCCTTTCCCACTTCGGGAATGAAACACTCATCATCCCTGGGCGACGGGCAGGGGGATGGGCATTGTAGTCCAAAGGCATCGCCTGGAAGGATGGGCTCTGGAGTTTGAAATAAGCTTCCTGCCAGAGCTCTGTAGCCTTTCATATCTCGGGGAGATGCCATATCCCATCATCCCTGGGCGACGGGCAGGGAGATGGGCATTGTAGTCCAAAGGCATCGCCTGGAAGGATGGGCTCTGGAGTT